CACCGCCACACTGGTGGCTGCTGGCTGGCTCCTGTGACCGTGACCGTGCCAGAGTGGAACTGTTGTGCCCTGTTTGTTTGCAACCACCTTCCCAGCCTGCAACTGGACACCCCAAGCCCTGAGCCCACCTGCCTGGAGCCTCCCAGGCTGGGCACCTTTTGCAATCTGCGCCTTGACCCCGGGGCTCTTCCAAAACACCTCGCAGGGGGCCAGACTGCCACTGGGGGAGATGCCACCCAAATCTGGGGGATGAGTCCCCCCATGGCAGCAACTCAGAAAACTGGGGAGAGCCCTCCACCCCAGAGATGTCCCAGCGGTCCCCAAGCAGCCCCAGAGCAGCAGGTCCTTGCAGGGAAGCTGGGGGTCTCCCCAGCACTGCTCATGGCTCACCGTGCCCTTGAGGGCATCGATCTCGCAGGTGTAGGACTGGATTTGGTGCCGGTACTCCAGCATCTCCTGTTTCGCCTGCCTCAGTGCATCGTTGTTCTTGTTGGCCGCCTGTGTCAGGTCAGACACCTGGGGAGAGACCAGGGTTAGCAGGCATAGCCACTGGGATGGCTGTGACCCACTGTGCCAAGACCAGCCCGGAGCCTGCCACCTCCCACACCTTGGACTTGTACCACTCCTCGGCTTCGGCAATGTTCTTGGCAGCGATGCTCTCGTACTGGGCACGGATATCCCGCAGCGCAGCCGTCAGGTCGGGCTTGGAGATGTCCATCTCCACCTGGATGTGCTGCTCCTGCAGCTGAGCTTGCAGCTCCCGGATTTCCTGGAGGGATAAGGTGATGCCTCGGGACACCCACTCCTTCCCACGGGTGCCTGCGGGAAACCGGGCCACCCCCGACCTACCTCTTCGTGCACCTTCTTGAGGAAGGCAATCTCCTCCTGCAGGGACTCGATGCGTCTCTCCAGGTCAATGCGGGCCAATGTGGCTGCGTCCACGTCCTGGGGGGACATGGAGTGAGGGGTAGCAGGGAGGTTCTGGGAGAGCACCAGGGCTGGAAGGTGCAAAGCTGTGCCCAGGGTCATGCCCCAGTGCTGGGGCCGGGCTGCTGGGGGGAGATGGGGGTGGGAGAGGAGGTGGGGGTCCCCACCCGGGGCGGGGGGGGTACTCACAGCTCTGAAGGCAGCCAAGTTGTTCTCAGCCTCCTCCTTCAGCTGGATCTCCTCTTGCAGCCTGTGGGCAGAGAGGGGAGGTCAGGGGTATCCCGAAGGAGCTCTGTCCCCCAGCAGCAATGTCCCTCCCAGCTGATCCCAAGCCCAGTGTGTCCCAGTGGAAAGATGTCGGATTGTCCTTCATTCCCGGCAGGCGGCAGGAGGGCTGGCGGGGGGCCAGGGGCTCTTCCTCCCATTCCCTATTATAGTCAATGCCGGAGAGAGCACAAAGGCATGAGGTCAGCTCGGTGCCACGCGCCCTGCCCCAGCCCTTATAGGGGAGACT